TGAAAGTCACATAGAAGCGATTCGCATCCCTTGTGGTGGATCTAAAGGTCCACATACATCTGTATGTATGAGATCCAATAAACCCCCCCCTCGCACAAGTGCCAGTGAAGGGTGACTTGGTCATCTTTCCAAGTAAACAAGACTCGCACACGTCATCGTCCCTAAGTCGAATGACTCCAACACTCCATCCTTTTGAGTTGGGCTATGCGTTTCTTGTTGACATGTCCAAGACGACAATGCCACAAGCATGCTTTATCCATACTATTGGGAAGAATCCACACACAACACATCATTTCCTAAGTTGTCTACAACCATCACAGTTTCATATATTCCATTACAAGGCAATGCTTCAAAATAAAAACATTATTAAAATAAGCATAAATAGAACCCTTTTCATTATCAAATGAATATCTAAAACCTGTTTATATAAACCATGAAATGAAATGATGTTTCTAGCCATATCTGGCGAATAGCAACAATTATTCAAATTTAAATCTAACCATTACTAAGCACTAAGGAATAAACTCCAATCTTGGTCACAGGCGACGATCTTCTGTTTCCCATGATCATTCATCCTTCCACGCTCCACATCCCTATTCCTTTTAGTCCCTGCAAATCAGAACATATGTGAAAACCACATCCTGTATCAAGAACCCAAGTAGCATGTGATAAATATTAGATTTAATTGTGTAAATACCTGCGAAAGATGGCTTGATCTTCCATCCTTGATGGCTGCAGATATTCTGGGCAGCTTCTCTTCCAATGCCCTATCTTGTGGCAGTGGTGGCACTCTGCCTCCTTAGGGTTGAGTTGGGTTTAGCAGAACCAACTTTGGTTCCACTAGAAGAGGTGCCATCTTGGGACTTTCCCTTGTGGTGGCCCCTTGAGGGGCCTTCCTCTTCTTACCCTTCCCTTGCCCTATTGCCAAGACAGGGGCAGCAGCTGGGAGTTGGAGGTTGATGCAACAGATTTATCCTTGAGGTTGCTCTCAGCAGTCCTCAACAAGCCCTGAAGCTTGCTCAAGGAGACCTCTTCCTTATTCATGTGGTAGGTCATGCGGAACTGGCTATAGCAGGAAGGCAATGAGTGAAGGATGATGTCAATTGCCAGCTCTTCATCGAAGTTCACATTCAACTTCAGCAGGCGATCAACATATCTCTGCATCTTTTGCAGATGGCAGTAAGGACTCTCCATTACCCATTTTGGTAGTGATCATCGAAGTGATGATCTCATACCTCTCTTGCCTAGCGCTCTGGTGGTAGCGTTCCAGCAGATCCTGATGCATCTCATAGGGGTACTTGTCCTCATAGGACTTTTGGAGTTCAGCAGTCATAGTCGCGAGCATGATGCAATGGACTTTCGTGGCATCACGCTCGTGGGCCTCGTAGGCCGCGATCTCATCGGCAGTAGTAGCAGTTCGATATCAATCTCCTTTAGCTTCTCGTCGAGGACATATTCTTTGTCCTCGTAGCGAGTGACCATGCGAATGTTGCGGATCCAATTACTGAAATTGGTCCCATCGAAGATCACTTTCCCACACAAGTTCATGAGTGAGAATGAACCAGAGGAGTTTAACCCAGAAGCGTTGTTGTTTGCGTTCGACATCTGAAAAGGACAAAGTTGATTAGAAATGAATTTCCCCAATTAATCACCCAAATGAGAAATTAGGGCTAGGAACCAACAACATTATTTACAAATTAGAAAGGGATGCCGTAATCTAACAAGTAAATAATTTGAAGGCAAGTGAATGTCGATTCACTAATTCTCCACCATGAAAAACGAAAAAGAATTAGGTTTTAAATGTATTGAAAACTCCTAGATCTTTTGAGATACATTGAACTTTTCAATGGCATGTTTAAATCTCGATATGCCCCTCTAGTTTGTGACTGGGATGCCGAGGATCACAAAGTGGGTGTGAATAACCATGCAAATGTACATGGTGCCCTCATTGTTACAGTCACCTATTCGATGTGCTGGTTAACCACACACGCTCCATCGAACTATGACAAACAATGAGTCACCCTTTGCCACCATTGCTTAGAACCCAATTAATGTGCCGGTTAACCACACACGCTCCATTAACGTCTTAGCAAGGGTACAAAGTGTAATTTCATGGAATTGCATCAATTCACTTTTGCCTAAAGTAACTAAGATTGGGAATTTTATGAAAACATTTAGTTACTTTATATAGATTCATTATACTTTTAATGAGGAAAGGTTGCCCGATCCTACCCGTTCGGCTAACGACCCTCCACCAATCAAGGAAGCGGTGGGTGAGAATGGACACCCATTAAACGGCCATTTTATAGGCCATAACCTTATACCCCCCTTATAGATCGGCTTCGTGAATGAGGCCTACTAACGGTAAGACTAGCATTTAAGTTATACGTATATATATTAATCTTATAATACTATAAGTATAAGGTTGAATTTTAAAACTTGTAAAATTCTAAGGTTTGAAATTTAAAAGGTCCAAATTAAAACTTTTAATCACAAAACTTTAAATTTCAAAACTTGAGGACAAGTTTTGAACTTTTCAAAACATAAAGGATCAAATAGCAAATAATATAAATCAACTAATTAATTTAGTGATTATCTAAATTTGACCTAGTCAATATTACTTGCAAGACAATCCACCAATTAATTCAAATAATCAATTATTATCACATAAGGAAATTATTATTTAACTAAATGGTAATTATCTTTTGTTTTGTCAAGGATATAGTCAAATAATGATAAAATTCGGATTTTATTGACCCAAAACGATTAAGGCAAGAATCCTCAAGCAAACCAACAAGAAATCCCGAAAATCACTCTGACAGACGCTTGGACTCGCCGAGTTCATGCTACTCGCCGAGTCCACAATGGGACTCGCCGAGTCTGTCAGTCAGGGGCACAAAAATCGATTTTTCATGGCAAGAACAATCAAACAATGCATCAATTCAATAGAAATCAATCTAAGCTCTGATACCACTGATGGGTTTGAGCCATAAGAACTTTCCTATGTGCACATGCAAACCCTAATGCTTGGATCTAGGTTTCTCTAATTGAACATGCAAAGTATCCAAGACTTTCAATGCTAGATTTAGTGTATACAATTGAAACATAAACATATGAAATCAGATCTAGATGAATACCTTTTGTTGCTTGCTTGAATCTTCTTGTTCTTGGAGCTTAGAGTCACAATTGTCACTCCTCTAATGGCTTACAAACACCAACTAGCAAGAAGTTGATTTGGAGAGAGAGGAGAGGTGTAGAAATCGGCTCTAGGGTTCCCAAGGAAGCAAGGTGGCCGATTTCTCCAACCCATAGGGTCTATTTATACTATGAGCTACTAGGGTTACATCCTTACCCTAATTGAATACTTAGGCCTTAAGCAATCCAAGGATCCTTCTAGAGTAAGGCTTGGACGAATTCAAGGAGCCCATCCTTACTCCTTTTCGGCCACCCCTAGTTCTATAAGGATCATAGCCCAAAAACACAACTATCACACATTGACAGTTAAGCCCCTTTTTCAATTAACCTCTTTTAGTCACCAAATTAATTCCTAATTAATTTATGACTAATATTAATTAAATAATATTATTATTCATTTAATATATTATTCTCATAATATATTAATTAATATAATAAAATCTCTTCTCTCTTTATAAATCACCCTGTCAAGTTGCTGTGGTGAAGGCAACTCAAAAGGACCATGCACAACCGGGTCAAGTACTTACCAAATATAGTTACGGGCTTAGACACTAATCCAACAATTAGGAGAGTGAAAATTGTACAACGGTTAAAAACAATAATAATTAAATAATCTCATATATATATAATCTATATATATATATATATCTTATATATACTCTATCTATCTACCTACACAACATACACACGAAGGAGAGTGAAATTGATGAGCGTTTTTTTTTTTTAAAAGATTAATGTGACTTAATAATGAAAATCCATATACTTGATTATAATATCTTACACGTTAGTTTAATTACTCACTAGGGTGAGACACATGTATTACATGGGTTAAAAAAAAATTATCAAAATGTAGAAATAAGTATTTTTTAAAAAAAAATTTTAAAAAACGGAAAAAAAAATTTATTGCAATTATGATCCTATTTATACATTTTAAATGATTTTATTATATTATATGTATTATGTGGCTTTTTAATTTTAAAAATTAAAAAAACCTAGAAATTGACATGTGGATACTATTAATTTCAAAAATACCACAAAACGACAAGTATTAAAACTTATGAGAGATTGACATGTGGCAAAATGGATTTTCATTTATTAGAGCAGATTAGAATCATCCTCGTACAAAATTGAGTCCAAATGTGAACCATAAAGATATCATTAATGTTTGTCAACAAAATCTTCTTTTAATATAAAAATGCATAAGGTTTGAAGCAATCGACTCTAATATGTTTGTTCCTTATCTTATATTCTATGAATTTAACAATTCAAAACCAAAATTGCATTCGATAAATGCTTAGTTTAGAAATTCTACAAAAAGATAAAAAAAATATCGTTAAGTATTAAAAACGCTGATTAGCTTTTGAAATAGAACAAAATCCATGGCTCCAAGTCGATTGATTGATACGAAGAACATAATATGTGCTTTTGTGTGTCTCCCTTGTGTTGGCGGTGGTGTGTGAATATGATTAGGAACAGACGAAAGATACCTTAGGGTTTATACATGGAGATGACGGTGGTGGTGGTATAGGAGTCGATTGATGGTCTGGCCGGCGTTTTTAGAGAAATAAGAGTAACGGGTGGTGGTGTTTATAGGTGGCGTCGGGTTTTAATAGGTAAATAAAACCGATCCCTTGAATAAAGGGATATCAATTGTTAATTTTGGATATTAATTAATACATATATATATATATAATACTATTAATCTACCCTTATTAATTTAATTAATGATTATTTTATTGTCAAATTTTTATTGGTGCATACATACATACATACAATAGTTGTAGAAAATATATATATATATATATATTCCGTTTCCTTTTGCTAATCTTTCCTATAAATGCTAACAACGATCCTTCCCTAGTCTCTTCCCTTTCTCTATCTCCTCTTCCCCACATCCTTTATCTCCATCTCCATTCTTTGTTCTTGTGGAAGTCTGTTTCCTTTAAATTCAAGCTTACCAAAAGCCTGTCTTTAAAATCAAATATTCTTGGCCTCTTGTCTTTCAATTCCCCAATTATAATCTGGGGTTTTGCAAGCCCCTCTTGTTCTTTTCATCTTTCCGACTTCCTTCTTTCCTGAAGGGGTTTTTAGCCAAGATTCATGTTTAATTTATTCTCCTTAATGTTTGAAATACATGTCTCAAATTCTTAGTGAACTGTTTACTTCCGGGTGTATGATCAATTCCACTTATTGGCGCAGAACCCATCTAGTTCAATCTTTCTCAGTTGTCTTCCTCTACTGGTTTTATTACATTTCATGATTCTTCCTCTATAAACTAACCCCTATATAAATCTATCGTTCTATATCTATCTATATTTAGATCTATAAGTAATCATATAATTAAACTAAACCTTAATTACCTCTGGGTCTTGTCATTTCTCTCTCAAAATCTTCAGTTTTAAGTTTCCTGATTAAAGTTTCCACTTTTAGTAATTTTCATGGCTTCCTCTAGTGGCACAACGACGTCGTCTGGTGGTTCAGATCTTCAAGGAGAAATGGATCAAAGGAAAAGGAGAAGAATGATTTCTAACAGAGAATCAGCAAGAAGATCGAGGATGAGGAAGCAAAAGCACATGGACGATTTGATGACTCAGCTGAGTCAACTCAGGAAGGAGAATAACCAGGTAATGTCTAGTATCAGTATGATCACACAGCATTTTATGAGTGTGGAGGCTGAGAACTCGGTGCTGAGAGCTCAGGTGGCGGAGCTCAGCCATCGGCTTCACTCTCTCAACGAGATCATTGCCGTCATGAAACAACCAATTGACGCCGGAAGTGGGTTTGCGGAGGAACAGTACGTGGGAAGTGACACTGAGTTCGGCGACGAGTTTATCAACAACTCACTGAGTTTTCTTTACGCCTGTCAACCTATCTTGGCTTCTGCTGACATGATTATGTACTGAGTTGAAAGAAGTTTGGGATGAAGGGAGAAAGTGTCCACTTTCTAAACTTATAAGATCAAGGTGGTAATTTTAGCATGAAATTCGGAAACATCATTGATGGAATTGATTGAATGATGGGATCAAAATATTGGCATTTATAGGGGGTAGGGGGAGGGGGGGGGGGGGGGGGGGGGTATGTGTATGTAATCATTAGGATGTTGATGTTTGTTTTGTAAGTTTGTAACTCTAATGTATGAGATTGATAATGATATAATTAAGTTCTATATAATGCGTAGTCGGTTGTTATTCAGATAATTTTTATTTTTCTGACGTACCATATTATATATTTTTGTACTCGAAGCATGTGTTTTTAATTGATTTCCATATAATTTAGTTAAATCAATTCATTACTTATTGAAACATCCAACAGCTACGAAAAAATAACACAAATGTTGTCTCCAATACAAAAAAAGTTAAAATCATAAATATATATTGCGTTTAATTGGGTTTTAAAGTCTTAATCTCGTTATTGCAAAACAGATTTTGATCATGCTAGGACCAATTCTTAAGGCGATCTTATGAACCAAATTAGGATAGTAATATCTTATCTTGATTCAGTCTCACATGTGTAGTTTTTATGTAATACTCAAGTCTTTAATTTAAACTCTAAAAAGTTCTTTATTAATACCATGTTGAATCTAGAAAAATTATCTATTTATCTTGAAATCAAGCTTGAATATTTCATCAATTCCATTTGGGATCGAGCATTGCAGATTGTCAAAAACCTGATAAATTATTATAAATTCTTCAATTTATCTCGAATTATATAGAGTATTACAACACAAATTTGTCACCTTGTGATCTTATGCCCTTATGGTCATGATGATCTTATTATTAGTAGTATTTTGCTTAAGTTATATTCTTAATTGGTGCAATTTTCATCGATTCTGTCATCGATATAATAACCAATATTAATCTATACTGATAACTATACAAACAATACATTGAGAACAAATTTGGAAACCAATTTATTTTGGTTAGATTTTCCGATCTATATCTTATCTACCTAGTCATGAGCTTGTAAATTTAAAAAGACAATAAATAACATTTCTATCTTAACAACCTTTGTGGATACATTTATTTTTAAAAAAAAATTAGTATAACCAAATTGTGACTATTACTTACATAAGAAAACTAATTATAATTTTTAGATAACGTAAATGTTTAGACACTATTTGTTTGCTCGAAAATTATTTTTCTGAAAGATATAAATGTAACATTTAATGTTGAAATATAAATATGTGACATCATAGCGTGTTTATTTTATAAATAACATTCAAAATTCATATATGAACAACCACAAACTTTCAGTATAAAATACAGAGCTAAAATATACTCAATTACCAATAAATAAATCACTAATATTAGGCGGTGTATTTTGTTGAGAAAAAAAATATTCCTGTAATTCTAAAAAAAAAAAAAAAAAGAAAAAAAAAACTCCTATAATTATTTGATTATTTTCAGGTACTTTTGATTTTATTTTAAGACGTTTGGTTTTTTATATAATTTTTCTTTAGCTGAGTTCTTAAATTGTTTTATTCTAATCTAAATTTATAAAAGGTCACGTTCTATTGAATTACTTAAAACTAACTATAACAACTTTATGTCATTAAAATCAATTTTATAATAAATATATATATTAATTAACGTATTTAGCACATGTAATCAGGTTGCCCGTGCAAGAGGCATGACACAAAGCCATGTGAAGAGGATCATTAAAGAATCATTAGATTCCGTGTCTACCCTTAATTTTACCCTTTAGTTAAATACTAATAATAACAAAATGGCCTTCAATTTACCAGTATCAACTTGTTAACAAATATGATATTTTTTAAAAAGGTGAGGGTTTAAGTCCTACGAAGAAAAAAAGAAAAAAAAAGTAATTTAGTATGTGATAATTAACGGTTCAAAAAATTAGTTAAATAATAATTATAAATTCGGTTTCAAAACCTAACATCAAAATGGTGAACCATAACATTAGAAAAATATAGAAGATTATCACATATAGTTATATGTTTTAATTATTATATTAACATAAATATCATTAATTAAATTATTTGTCCATTTAATTTGATATATTGAAATTACGTTGTTGTTTTAAGATTTAGCCTTTAAATGAGAGTTTATGGTGATTCTATAATTAAGAATTTGTGGGATTTAGTAATGAAAATTGGGATTTGTGTATAAGGGGGCGATTATAGGGTTTAGGTCATTTTTGGTCACTTAATTTTTGGTTTTGTGCTCATTTGGTCACTTAACTATTTTTAAGTTTTAAAAGGTCATCAAACTTTTGGCTTTGTGCTCAGTTAGTCACTAAACTTTTGGTTTGGTCACATTTAGTCACCTAACTTGTAAAATTGTGCTCATTTAGTCACTAAACTTTTAAATTTTTTCAAAAGTTTAGTGACTAAATGAACACAATTTTAAAAGTTAAGTGACTAAATAAGCACAAATCTAAAAGTTAAGTGACCAAACCAAAAGTTAAGTGACTAAATGAGCACAAAGTTAAAAGTTTGATGACCTTTTAAAACTTAAAAAGAGTTAAATTACCAAATAAACACAAAACCAAAAGTTAAGTGACTAGAAATAACCTAAACTTCCGATTATATATGATCCATGTTATGGAGGGAGCCTAATTTTACATAAGATTCAGTCCATTTTCTAACCGTCTCCAATTTGGTATATTCAAAGATAAAAACTCATGGTTTGTTCCAATTCCAAAAACTCACACTAAAATTAAAAATTACAAAAATTCACATTTTAAAAGTTGGGTTTAAAATTAAAAATTGCCTAATAACAGGCACCGCTTTTTTAAAATCATTTTGTTGTATGATAATCAAAGTTAAATGATAATATATTTAAGTTATGTTTTTATTATAATGTAGACCTTGATTAAAAACTCACATGCAAAAATTGCCCAGACATAAGAAAAAGAGCAACTTGGTACTCCTTGCAAGCTTTTGTTCCATGTGGGAATCTTTTTTAATGCCAAATTATTCACAAACATCAAAGGAAAGTTGATTTATATGTCATGCATTAAAAATTGGACATTCTTTCGTAAAAGGAGTCTAGCTCCTTGACATTCCATAGGAAATCATTGTGCATTATAGCACATCATTGACATTTCAGTAACAATAATGTTGTAAGATGGTTTGTATCTTATGCAATAATGGTTGTATACTGCTCCAACAAAGAAGGCCTAGTGCTTTCCTTGGAAGGAAGTGTCAAATGTGACTACTAGTTGTACGTTGTTTTTCCTAATGTGTCGGATGGAGGTACAAAACATGAAAACACTGTTACAGATTCACCAATCGCACTAGAAAAGGGTCTAGCTTTATAATGTGAAGCACAAAATAAGAAATTGGTACTCGTTATACATTTTTGTCATAAGAGAAACATTTTTATAGAGCAAATAATTGTCAAATCAAGAGTAATAATGCTAAAATCAATGTGTACATCATGCATCCGAGATTGTATATTGTTATATATCGATTTAAGCCAATAAAAAGGTCTAACATTTTCATGTGAGAGAAGTGCAAAAAAAACATTACAAGAGTAGCTGTTAACTTTGTTCCAGGATGACTATTTTTTCTTAGAAATAGGCGGGTAGGAATTTTACCAATACATAGGAGACCGTGTCTTCAAAACCTAAGAAGGAATGTTAATTCTTCTATGAGCAAGAAAGCTCTTTTTTTGCCGACTCAGAAAAAACCCTAACGAGAGCATAGTTAACTTTTGTTGATTCTGAGCAACGACGTTTTTACGTTGGGGTAGGGGGTTTCTTGGGTGCTACTCTTCAACAACTACATTATTTCTAAAACTATGGATTACTTCAAATGATGGACGATGCCTACGCACATACTGTGTAAGCTTAAACCTTATAATCTGATGATTCAAACCTTTATCACATTGAATGCATCATCAACATCAGAGTTATCGTATGTTGATCAAGCTTCGGAGACAATGTGATATGTTTCTTGCACTACTAGAAAAAAGGCCTTTAATGACACGCAATTTATGATGCACACGGATTTACGATACGCAAAAGTGTGTGACGTAAAAATAATGTCATCTCTCCAAAATTTTGAAGGATTTAGGACGCGCATTTTTGCGCGCCCTAGAATTTGTGTCAGAAAAAAATAAAAATAAAAACACCAGTGTTGCAGAAATCGGCCTAGGCGCTAGACGGAGCTCCACCGATGAGGTTTATGGCTAATCGTCCATTGTAATCGGTTTGGTCAACGTCGGTCAAAGCCGAAACTAATCGGAGCTAGGCGCTTTAAACGGTCAAAATCGGTCAACGAAAATTCAAAAAAATTAGGGGCAAAAATGTCAATTTGAAAACTTTTCTAGGGTTGGTTCCAAATTTACTCATTCGAAGTATTAGGAAAACGTATTCTCTCTCGTCTCAACCTTGAACAGACTGAGAAATTGAACCGCCGACATCCTATTCTTCCGATCACGTTGTCGCGTTTTGCTCCGGTACGACCCTGCTTAACTTCGAACTTCATCATCGCGTTCTCGAGTTAGAGAAGCCCATCGTCTCATTCTCAACTTTGAAGCTCGCGTCAGGCAACTCGTGTTTGAGTCCGCTCGTGCTCCTCCGACGCCGTGTACTGCTCCAGAAAACCTCTGACACCAACTCTTATTGTCGACGAAGGTTAGTTCTTCTGGACGACTCAATATTCGCTTTATTGTTGCTTGATTTCACCGGTTCTTGTTCATTATTTGGGCTACTGATTTCCATGCGAGCCAGATTTAAAGTCACACTACTTTCGTTTGTTCTTTCTTTCGTTGCTTGATTTCACCAGATTCCATGTCAATATTATTATTTGTGAATTGTTATTTGTTAGTGAACATGTGATCGTGCATCATCTATCTGCTTCTGCATCTGTACATGATGTGAAACGATTAGAACCTAGAGTGTTTAAAGGGATCGCCTCGTATAAAACGGTGACAAGTGTCTAATTTTGGTCCGGTGTTACACAATGTTTAAAGGTGTTCTCCCCTTTGGTGAAAGTCCTTCGAATGGTTGATGCGGATTGGAAGCCCTTAATGGGTTTTGTTTACGGGGAGATTAAAGTTGCAAAAGAAGAAATTATCAAATCTTT